TATAACTTAAATGTAGAAAGGGGGAGATGGGGGTCGTCAAAACTTGATGGCCAAAAAGTGACGTTCCTTTTTGCTGTCCTAATTACTTTGAGCCATCACTTCGGGTTTCGTGCATAAGCTAACACAAACATGCACATACAAATACAGAGACAGACACTCACATGCATTGAGGATGACATGTGACCTTAACTAACCAAATCACCTTATACTCGATCAAATAGGCCAGATTTAGAGTATATATACCACTTTTTAGGGAGTTTCCGGTGAGCTTTCTTAACTTTTTAGCTTGAATTTGGTTGTGACAATGTTACCTCGCTCTGATGATGTCCGTCATATGACGGACGAAAGCTTAGCACGTTTTCACTGGAATCAAAGGAGGTTGCCTCGGAAACAGCGTCAGCATGAATGTTCCAGTAAAGCCAATCGACAACTGGTCAAGAAGAATATGCCGTCGTCTTCTGGTGGAATATCTTCACCCAACACTTCCACTCGAAATGGAAGTAAGCTCAGCAATCACCTTGACCAATTTCCTAGCAACCAGTTGAGGATACACTCCTCGCCCATATTCTTTGTCGTACCTTCTAGTGCGATATCTCTTTCTGCCAACCCTCCTTCAGAATGAAGGTATGAAGACCAAGATTGTGTGGCCTTTTGTTTGGTCGCAGTCTCCTTTGGTTGTATAGAAGTTGTTTGACCCTGTTTTCGCAACATGGTCATATTGGTAGGAAGACTTGTTGGCACGCACCTAGTCCGGGGTCCATTGTCTGCATAATCATTTCCAAAGTTGAACCGTGAACGTGGTACATTCCCAAACGTTTCGTCGGCATCGTCAGTGAGTATCGCCATTTTTAGCACCACACAACAACTCGTCAAAGAGACAAGTTAATCCCAATCTTTACCAGACTTGTGCTAAACAATTGTGGTATCTCCCCTTCTGCCCTGGGTTATTCGCATTTCCGGTTGCATCCTATCATTGTTTAGCACAAGTCTAGTCAAAGGATCGGCTTCACTTGTCTCTTTGACGAGTTGTTGTGTGGTTCTAAGAATGGCGATACTCACTGATGATGCCGACTACGATGCCGGCGAAACGTTTGGAAATGTACCACATCCACGGTTCAAATTTGGAAATGATCACGCGGACAATGGACTCCGGACTAGGTGCGTTCCTCCTA